TTTGATGAAAAGTTAGCTTAACTTTATTGTGGGTGACTTGTCCATAAGTCAGCCTCTCAGTGTGTGTGTGTGTCCCCCAGTTTCAAGAGTTTCTCTTTGTGTTTTGTTTCAGTTTGACTATGATATGTCTAGGTGTTTACTGAGCATCTTGGATGTGTAGATAAATTTTTTTCATCAAATTTGGGAAGCAGTCAACCATATTTCCTTATACGTACCTTATACCTCTTCACCTTCTTTTCCTGGGACCCTGTGAGGCATGTTGTCTGATGGCATTTCATAAGTCCCAGAAACTGTTCATTTTTCTTCATTTTGGTTCCTCTTGCTCTTCAGAATAGATTATCAAGATCCATGTTCAGTGTATGTTGAATTTTTTCTTATTGCCAGCTAAAATATTTTCTTCAGTCCTTTCTGCAAATTTTTTATTTTAGCCAATGTATTTTCCAACCCCAGAATTTCCATTTGGTGCTATTTTATAATTCCCACCTCATACTGACATTCTCTATTGGACAATCATTGCCATCTTACTTTCCTTTAATTCTTTGAACAAGATTTCATTTACTTCTTTAAACATATCATAATAGCTATATAGAAGTATGTGTTTACTAAATCCAACATCACAACTGACTAGAAAATAATCTACTGCTTTGTTTTTCTTCTGTGTAGGTAATTTGCTTGTTTCTTTGGGTGTCTTGTAATTTGTTGTTGAAAACTGGGCATATTAGGCGTATACTATAGCAGCTCTGGAATCAGATCCCTGCTTTCCAGTCAGGGCTGGTGGTCCTTGCCACTTGTTTTTATTTACTGTTCTACCTGGACTAACTGCATGATGCATGTTCCCCTCATAGCAAGTAACCACTGGATTACATGCTGAAGGTTTTCTTTTTTCTCCTCTTAATCTTTTTTTTTTCTTTTTTTGGTTTTTTGAGACACAGTCTCACTATATAGTTCAGACTAGCCTTGAACTCACAGTGATCCTCCTGCCTCAGCCTTCGAAATGCTGGGATTACTGGCATGTGCCACCATCCCTAGTTTCTCTCTTTAATCCTAAATGTAGCTCCCTGGACCAGCACAGCCTAAAGGTCAGCCAGGGAGTGATCAGGGGATGGGTCACACCTTGAGCCAGGAGCTGCATGTGGCTTGGGGAATTCAGTTAACATTGCAGATGTCTATAAGTCTGTCTCAAATTTTACTTTCTGCATCCACAAGGCCTTGTGCTCACCCCATTTGAGAGACTCGCAAGAGCCCACCTAGTCCCTGAAGTGTTAGCTGTCTGGTTCCTGAATTTCCATGTTAGAATTCTGGTTGGTCTGTTGATCTTCTACTCATTCCTACCAATACTGCAACCTTAGCTTCTTTGCTATTTTGGCCTTCTACGACTACATGCCACTAAGATGGCCACCGATAACATCTCCAGGCATGGAATTTCCCACACTGTGATCCACATAAAGGCAGCACAGCGCTCTCTGCTGCCATCATTGGTCCTAACCCTAACCCTACCAAGGCCCAGAGCCTGTGGAAACCCTACAGGCACCCACTGTTCTCACTGAGATTCTGGGATTCAGCAAACCTTCTTGATTTAATACTTCTCCATTGGCTGTATGCCTTCAGTCAAATTCCCACACTCTCTGAAGGGCTGTCTTGGGCAATTTCGTCAAGCTTTATTTCTGCTTCTGGGGAAGAGGATATGCTGAAATCTGCACTTGGCCCATTCCAGAAAGCCTGCTCACTGTGGGAACTGCTTTCCACAGGCACAAAGGAGACAATCTACACAACACTTTAGAGAAGGATGTGAGGCCTAGAGAAGCGAAGTGATTTTTCCAAGGTCCCATAACAAGTCTGCAGCTAAACTAGCAACAGAATAAGCCGCCAAGCAAGCCAGTGGCTCTTCCTCTTTAAAGGGGACGCGCAATGTCAAGAAACACCCACTAGACGGCCCCCCACCCACCCCTCTCAGAAAGCAAAATTACAGTGCAGGATCAAAAATGGTTGGCATTACTATGCAGTAACCAAGCCAGACAACGACAAGAAAATAAAATCAAAGGCCAATATCCTTTATGTGCATAAATGTGAAAATTTCAAATGAAATTTTATAAACTGAGTCGAGCAATATACAAAAACCATAATACATCACGGCCACCTGGGGTTTTCCCCCAGAATCTCAAGGTTGGCATAACATCCAAACACCAGCCAACAAAATTAAAATTTAAAAAGAAAAATATGTACTATCATCTCAGTAGGCACAGAAAAAGTATCTTAAAATTCAACATCCGCTAGGCATGGTGGTATACACTTATAATCTCAGCACTTGTAAGGCTGAGGCAGGAGGATCACTGTGAATTCACGGACAGCCTGGAATACATAGTGCCAGGGAAATGCCTTCTCAAAAAACAAAAGAAAATCAACAAACATTCTTGATCAGAAAGAAAAAAACTCAACAAACTAGCAAAAGGAATTAACCTGCCAAATAATATCTACCAAAAACCTACGGTTTATATCATAGCAAATTATAAAGACTAAATACTTACCCTTTCTAAGAAATTACACACATTGTTTCTCTTATATGAGAAAACCAGATTTTTTAAAAAAGAGTAAAGTAAAAGATAATAGGAAGTAGAGATAGTCCATTCTCAAAGGGGAAGGAGGAAGGGATGGGGATTAAAAAAGGAGTCAGGGTGTGTTACATACATGTACCAACTCCACACAAGGAATGTAAACATTATGTACTACACATATGTACTAATAAACTAAAACAAAAAGAGAAATTACACAAAAAGATACATTCTACTAGCATTGTACTGAAGGTGCTAGCAACTGTAATTTAAGAAAAAAAAACTCATCTAGATTGGAAAGGGAGAAGTAAAACTGTATTTGTAGATGATATGATTCATCTACATCAAAAGTCCAATGGATCTATCAAAAAAAGTTACTAAAGTGAATAAGTCAGCCTAACAAGGTTGAAGGATACAAAATAATTATATAAAACTAATTGTATTTCTACTTATCAATAATCAGAAATTGAATTATTTTAAATTTTAATAATACTTTAATAGTGTTAAAAATATGAACTACTGCCCAAAGATCCACAAATACTCCAAAAGATGTGCCATATATGAACAATGACAATTATAAAACACGGCAAAGAGAAATTAAATATAACCCAAATAAACAGAATGCCTTACTCATGGGTCAAAAGTCTCAATATTGTTATTGTTAGTTCTCTAAATGTTCATTGCTGTTTCAGTGAAAATCCCACCAGACGTTCTGTAGACCCTTAAATAGCCAAAACAACTTAAAAAAAAAAAAAAAAAGAGTTGGACATTATTTGCTTTCAAGAGTTAGCATAGTGAGGGAAGGGTACATGAGTCACAGGAGGTAAGAGGCAGAAATGATCAAAATGTTATGTGTGTACAAATATGCCAAAACAAATCCCTCTATTCTGTATAACTAGTACGTACTAATTTTTAAAAGTCATCACAAAGCTAGAGTAATCAATGTAGTGTGATATTGGACTCATAATAGACAAACAGAATCAACAGAACAAAATAAGAGTCCAGAAAGAGACCCACACATATATGGCAAAGGCACAACAGTGGAGAAAGGATAGTCTTTCCAAAAAATGATGCTAGAGGGCTGAGGATTTAGGTCAGTGGCTCCGCATATGCCTCACAAGTGCAAAGTCCTGAGTTTGATGCCCAGTACCAAAAAAAAAAAAAAAGATGCTAGAACAACTGTTTAACCTTAAGGAAAAAATACTTTGATTTATACTTTATAACACACAGAAAAACTAACCCAAGTTATATCATACTGTAGGGATAAAATATAAAACTATAAAAATATCTAGAAGAAAAACAAGAAAATCTTTGTGACTTTGGATTAGGCCAAGATCTCTTATCACAATTCACAAAAGAAAAAGATGATAAATTGGATCTCATAAAAATGTTAAAACCTGTTCTGAAAAGATAAGCCACAGACTGGGAGAAAATACTGCAAAGCATAATTCGAGGAGCTACTTGTGTATCGATTTTATGAAAAACTCCCAAACATACAAACTAACAGAAAAAATGAGCAAAAGATTTGAACATGACAACAAAGAATGTATGCATGGGTGGCAAATAAATACATTAAAAATGTTCAACATTATTAGTCATTAGGCAAAGGCAGAAGCAAAACCACAATGAGACACCTCTAAAATACCAAATGTGGATGAGAACATGTGAGAACTGGAACTCTCATGCTCTGCTGGAGAAAACCTAAAAGGATACCAACTCTTTGGAAAACAGTAAGTTAAACCTGCACCTACCAATGAGGCAGCAATTTCATCCCTAGGATTCATTCCAAAGAAAAAACATCTATACAAATTCTTGTGCTCAAGTGTTCACAGCAGCTTTATCTGTAATCCCCAAAACCTGGAGATAATCCCAAGGCCCATTGATAGCTAACTGGATAAACTAATATCGATACATACATCCGAATGATGCATCAGTGATAAAAGTGCTCACTGATAAAAAGGAATGGACTAATGACAAAAGCAACAGCGTGGATGCACTTCAAAATAACTGTGAAGTTACATGAAAGAAGACAAAAATACAACCTGACTTCACTTGATAAATCTCTAGAAAATGCAAACTCATCTACAATGACAGGAAATAAACTGGTTGCTCCTGGATATGGGCAAGTGGTGGGGAAGAGGGAGAAATTACAACAAGGCGTAAAAACTGTGCTTGACAGAGCTGTTCATTATCTTGTGGCGATGGTTGCATAACTGTGTACATATCTCAAAACTCATCAAACTGCACACTTTAAATGTCTAGGTTAAATATGTGCTATCTCTCAGTAAACTTTTTTAAAAAGCATAACTAGCATCCCTAATTAGTTCTGGATATTTATCAGATATGAACTAAATGCAATACAATAATAGAATACAATACAATAAAATACAATATGATTTGTGGAGAAGTCGCCAGGAGGTTAATTAATCTAAGAATTCTTGTCGAACCTACCTCGGCTGCGGGCTTCATTAACTTGCCCTCATTCCCACTCTGGGGTTGTGAATCCAGCTGCACTCTCTTCTGGTTCGGTGTGCTGTCCAAATTAAGCGCGGGCTTCTCTCTAAACGAGTTTGCGATGGCATCGTCAACAAACAACACCATTTCAGTCAGCAGAAAGGCTCTGTCTCAGCGTGGTGAAGAGGGTAAATGAACCCTAAGCAGAAGCACACCCCAGAGGCCACGCCCCCGTCTCAACCCGGCCTGCCGCCTCCGCCCAGGTCGCGCTCCAGCGGCTCCGACGGCTTCCGCGCAGGTCCCCTGTGAGGGGGAAACGCGTTGGCCCACGGCTTCCGCGCGTGGGGATGGGGCCCAGCCCACGGAGACCTGGGTGACCCGGGGGACGAGGGGCGCGGGACCCCTGGGGCCGCCTCAGAGTGGCAGGGGCAGACAGGGAGGACGGTTGCACCGTCGCCTGTGGCCCGAGGGAGCCGACCTGAGGTCCCGGAGCCGAGCCATGGGCGAGCGCTGGGCTTCCCGGACGGGCGCGGGAGGCGCGAGGTCTTGGGCGGGACGAGAACAGGCTCCCCCCGGACTTCGTGGCTCAGGCCCCTGCCGCTGTCGCCCAGACCTCCCGGTTCCTCCTGATTCCGTCAGGACCGCCGTCCGCGGAGCGCGGGGTCCTGGCGCTGAGGACTTGGAGAACGGGGAGAGCGCGCGACGGGCGGGGCGAACGGCGGGGGCGGGGCGGGGCGGGACCAGGGGGCGGTGCCTCCGGAAATGCGATCTGCTCCACCCAGCTCCCGACAGACCCACACTCAGGGCCCTGTTGTCCTGGAACAGGGACAAGCTCCAGGGGTGTTTGAAGCCCACGCGGGGCCCTCCCAGGTGTCCTAAGCCAGGGTCGCCTGGAGAGACGGTTATACTCGAGACAAGGTCCCCGAAGCGACCGTTAAGGTAGAATGAGGTCACATGGTGAGGGTCTGCACAGAAGAGATCAGGGTGCAAACTTGTTTTGGGGGAAGGTCGGGAGATGCCAGCCCAGCCCTCAAGCAGTGTGAGAACAGACTTCTGCCTTCCTTAAGCAAGCAAGTCCTGGAGCAGAGGGGTAGGGGCCTGGCCTCAGGCCACAGATGGGCCCTGCTGGGAGGAGCTGCAGTCTGATCCCAGGGACCTCCACTGACCTCTGGCTGCCTCCCCTTTTCCTGGAAGCCCCTGACCTGAGCATCTGCTCCCCCCTCCACCTGCCGGCAAGATATGCACCCAAAGCCTTCCAGTTACACCCAAGCCAGGGCGTCTTCTGGAGCCGCACTCGCCTGTTCAAACGCAGCTCCTGGGGCCTGCCATCCAGATCCAGGGGCACCGCGGTGGCGAAGCAATCCTGCTGTCTCCTCACCCAGATCCCCACCCTCTGCCCTCTGCCCCACACGCCATGCACTTGGCCCCTGGCCTCGCTCACCCAGTCCTGCCAGGACCTCCGGTGCAGTACAGGGCCTCCCAAGTCAGGCTAAAGTTAACAAACTATGCACTAGTAAAGGGAAGGCTCCCTGGAATTTGAACCAGCATTGGAGAACCTTTCCTAAAACGGATATCCAGGCTCTCTCAGACCCAGACCTCCAGTGAGACACCTCTGTGGCCTCCCTCTCCTTCCACAAGGAAACAGAGAGGGGCAGCAGCTTGCCCAAGGGCACACAGCATGCCTGAGCAGAGGCTGAGTGGGAGTCCAGGCCTCTGCACCCCCAGCACCTCACCATCTCGTCTCAGTCTGGGGTGGGGGTCCTCTCCCTGCCCTGTTTTCACCCTGCTCTCTTCACCCCGGCTGCACCTGGCAGTGCCAGCCAATGCTGAAATGAGCCCATGGGGAACTGTGAAACTTGGAAACAGGGGAGTGGGGCAAGGGGCAGAGATGAGGGGAGGGGAGGGGAGGAGCCCGGTGGGTGGGCGGGGCCCCCTGACCACCCCTCCTCACTGACCAGGGGCTGCAGGCCACAGGGACCCCGTTCTCAGCTCCAGTGTGTTGCAGCCCCACAGCCACAAGCAGCCATGGGCCCTGGGGAGGAGCTGGCCCCAATTCCTGACAGCTTCATCCTGCAGCCGCCAACCTTCTACCCGGTGAGCAGCCCCCCACCCTAGCCTGGAGCCTCCTGAGAACCCAGGGTCCCCATTTCCAGGGAGCTGGGGGAGGGGGAAAGAGGCTGCCTCCTCCTGCTGCTGCTCTCATTCCTCTGTTTGCTTATTCATTCTTTGGGCGTCCAGGAGACTTGCAGCAGCTACTCCTACGTACACCCTACTAAGGAACACTCTAGTCACCTTCCTCACTTGGCTGGCTCTTCGCTGGGCCCTCTGTCACCCCCTCTGCAACCCACCTTGCCAGGAGCATGGGAAGCAGGAGCACGGGCGGCTGAGCCAGCTAAGCCCCAGCAGTGCTGTGACAGGTGAGGTCCCTGGCCACCTGTCCTGCTCAGGTGCCCAAGAGACCAGCGGGTCCCAGGTTCCTCGCTGTGCCAGCTACAAGCTGCAGCCCAGAGGCAAGCCTAGGGCCCCAGCTCTTTCTGGGTGGCTTTCGCATCTGAAGGCTGTGGGCTTTGGACAGCAACACATGCAGCCTGATCTCAGGGTGTCTCCAGAGTGCTCTGCAGAGACAGCCCCAGAGCCATAAAGGGGTTAAGGTTAGGGTTAGGGGGTTGTGTGCAGTGTGTTTTAGGAAGGGTTAGGGTTAGTGTTAGTAGCTTCCCTGTGGAAACGATGCTCCAGGAAGGCAGCTGGGCCATTTTTAGAGTCCACCCTGAGACCTGTCCCAACCTGTCCAGTCTTTTTGCTTCCTAGACCGTAGCCATTAGATAGTCTCCAGAAAACCTCAAAGCCAGGCTTCTGGGGACCAACGTGGCCTCTTGGAGACACAGCAGCAGTGGCACCCTGGGGCTGGGAGAGGGAACTGAGTGGTGCTCTGATGGGCCCAGAGTGGCTATGACACATCTACAGCCTCGACAAGGAAGTAGAAGAGAATGTGTCAGAGAAAGTAGACTCTTCCCAGTAAGGACATTTCCTCTTCAGAGTGGGAGAGCTGAGTTTCCTCTTCTTCCTTCCCCACTGCCCAGCCACAGGGCCCTGGCCTTTCCTCCCATCATTCAGGTGGCTTCCTCTCCTTGCGCAGGTGGTTCCTTATGTCACAACCATTTTTGGCGGCCTGCATGCGGGCAAGATGGTCGTGCTGCAGGGAGCAGTCCCCCTCGATGCACACAGGTACGGGCAGCACTCGGGATGGAGCTGGGGCTCCCCCACCGCAGCAGCCTCTGTGGGCTCTGACCAAGATGGCACAGGTTTCAGGTGGACTTCCAGTGCGGCTGTAGCCTGAACCCACAGCCAGACATCGTGGTGCACTTCAACCCTCGCTTCCACACCACCAGGCCCCATGTCATCTGCAACACCCTGCACAGAGGGCGCTGGCAGACAGAGGCCCGGTGGCCTGGGCTGGCCCTGCAGAGGGGGGCTGGCTTCCTCATGCTCTTTCTCTTTGGGAATGAGGAGGTGAAGGTGAGCAAGAGGGTGGCCCCCGAGAGCTGTGTCCTTCCCCCTCCACTTGGCCATGGCCCCACCTTGTGCAGTGGCACTGTGGGGAGAGGCCTGCAGAGCACCATGCTGTCCGGGCCACTCTGGGCCCCTGCCATGGCACAGAGCATACTCAGAGTGCTTGCTGGATACCAGGCACCTCTAAGCCCTTACCTTGGGGGGTTAGGGGACTGCAGATCACCCCAGAGCCTTGTGTATGCATGCGAGGCAAGTACTATCACTGATCTACACCGGTCCTCTGAGCCACTGGTCCACAAATCCAGGATGCGTGACTTTATGATCACCATCTGACAGAGATGGCAGCAGGGGACAGGGTGGCAAGCGCTTAGGCCCTTCAGCAACCCCTGCCAGAAAGATGGCAGAATCTTCAGGGCCAGGCACTGGGGAGGGAAGGACGGAGGGTGGGAGTTACCACCAGGCTCTCCCGCAAGTGTCCCTCTCGTCACCTGTCATGCTGAGGAGAAGGCTGCGCTCTGGGGCAGAGAGGGCAGTAGGCCCCACTGCACAGACCGCCTGAAGCCCTGCGGCTGCCCTGCAGGTGAGTGTGAATGGGCAGCACTTCCTCCACTACCGCTCCCAGCTCCCGCTGTCTCGGGTGGACACCTTGGGCGTATCTGGGGACATCTGGGTGCAGGCCGTTGGATTCCTGAACATCAGTGTGAGTTCCCTTGGGGCAAAGACCTGGGCCACAGAGGCCTCTGACTTCCTGACACCCAGACGAGTGTGGGACCCACTCACCCTCCCCAGACCAAGAGACAGAGAAGGCCAGAACACCCATGACAGACAAAGGGCAGGGAACCTACAGTGTCCGGTGTGAATGGGGAGAGGGGAGAGAAGGCTCCCCTGGACAGGGGCACAGAGCCGCAGGCAGGGTCTGTCCTGGCGGCCGGGCTGGCTTTGGAAGGAGCAGTGTCCCGGAAGCGATGTACTCGGTACAGCAGGATCTGAACAGGCTGCAGCTGCCTGGTGCCTCATTCCACTGACAAACTTCCAAAACCTAGACCTGGGGGCCTGCCATCTGGGACTCCAACTCAACAAGCCCAAAGCAAGTATGGGAACTGTACCTCAGAAGGCAGGTTTAGGACCCACTGCCCAGATGTGGGAAGCAGGCACGGTCAGGTGGCTGCAGGGCCAAGTGGGCAGCCTGAGGGCCTGCAGGGTCCTGGATGTGCCCTTCTCTTTCTGAACAGCCGTTTGCAGAAGGCAGCAGAGAGTATCCAGCTGGACACGTGAGTCTGAGGTGTGGCTGGCCCTGTGGTTGGACAGAGCCAACCTGCTGCTCCCACTGCACAGGCCCCACTGCCCTTCTCTCCTGTGGCTGCACCTGTGGGTGGGACCTGGACTTGCCCCTCCCAGCCTCTCTTCAGGGCCATCCAGGAAGACGACAGGGGTGAGGCCTGCAGGGACCAGTGACCACAGTTCCCAGCAGGAGACCCCTTTCAGGGGGAGCTCTGGATCTGCAGAGCCACCATGCAGAGGAGTGGGGTGAACCTCATAGGACAGAGAGCAATGCAGCCTCTGAGCCTGCTTATGGTGCAGTTCTTCCCCATCGCTCCAGAGGTGGGGGGACCCCAAATTCAAGCGACCCCTCTGGGGCTCCCACAACACCTGCTGCCATGAGAGACAGAAGCCCCAGTGTCCCCAGGGAGTAGGATGACGGCCAGGACTCCCTTCCTGGGACAAACACCAATGGTTCCTGGGCCTCTCTTTCCCCACAGCCCTTCCTGCTTCAGAGTCCCCAGCTGGTGAGTGACCCCTGCATGTCCCCTGGAGGTGTGGTCCCATCTCCGGTCACTCGGAGCAGGGGGAGCAGCCAAGACGTGGGCATCCTGCAGTGGAAAAAGCCTTCAGCCTCAGTTCCCCTTCTTGTATGGCTGTGGGCAAGCTGAGCAGCTCCAGGCAAAAGCTCCAGCTTTGTTTTCCCCTTGCTCCGTTTATGCTGCAAGCAGGTACTGTATGCTTCCCAGATCAGACTCTAGATGGAGAGTCAGGGCAGCCTCAGCCCCAGCCAGTTGTTCATAGGGTGAGGTGGAATGAGCCACCACATGGCTGTGACAGTCCGGTATGCTCAGGTCCCTGGTGAAGGTTTGTCCTGGAGGGGCCCAGGCTGCATCCCACAGGCCCACAGCAGGAGCTCCGTGAGGCATGGTGCTGTCTCCAGGGGGCAGAACCTGCTGCCCCAATGCTCGGCACCCCCGAGGAGCCCAGAAGCTGCTCCTGGCAGTGGGGACCTTCCTGAGTGGCCAGGGTCACCCACCGTCCACATCCTGTCCCTGTCCTTCAGGAGCTGCCCTGTTCACGCACCCTCCCCCAGGGACTCTGGCCTGGACAGGTCATCATAGTTCGGGGCCTGGTCTTGCAAGAACCAAAGCAGTAAGTATCCAACCAAGCATTACCTCTTTAAGTTTCCCAGCGCCACCGTGTAATCCCTTCCTGCAGGTGAGAAAACAGCGCAGAGAGCCGTAGGTTGCCCAAAGTCGTAGAGCCGGTAAAAGTCAGGCTGTGATGGGGACCAGTGCTTCTTGCAGCAGATTCTCCTGTACTGGTGCCTCCATCAGGTCACTGAGGAAAGCAAAAGGCCTTGCAGGCCCAGGCTGAGGCCCAGGGAGCACACCTGGCCTTGCACAGGGACGGGAGATTTGATTTAGGTGACCAACCCCGGGAGGGACAGCTGGGACTTAGGGTTAGGAAGCCAGGATCCAGGAGGCGGCACGCTATTGCTAAATGGTGCTGCCTGGGTCTTCCTCCAGGGGCCGCTCAGACCCAGGTCTGGGGCGCAAATCTGGCTGGACCAAGGCCTGGGTCTGAGTGCCCCCTGGAGGAAGAGCCAGGCCAGCTGACTGCCTGGAGGAAAGGCCTTGCTTTCCATGGCTTTTCCAGGCCAGATTGTCCGTGTTGTCACCTGCTCTGGTCACCTGTAACTTGTGTGACCCCAGGCAGTAACATTTCCTCTCTGCCCCAGGCTCCTGATCAGTCAAGGGTTCACAACAATTCAGGCTTTGGGTGGTGCTCAGAACAGTCCACTACATGGGTGGTGACGGAATTACCTCGGAGTAGGGGATGGGGGAGAGGGCAGCACCTGTGCTCTCCCTGCATTGCCGTTGTCTTATTTGAAGTTGCTGACCTCACCTGGCATTTGCCCCTCTGCCACGGCCTGCAAGGCTGAAGGATTCACGGAGTGAAAAATGACAGTGATGGTGAGAGATTAAGAAAGGCAGACAAAGAGATTTAATGAGGTATAGCCGGGGCCACGTGGGGCTCTAACTCCTGATGGGAGGAGAAGACCCCAAGCAGAGGGCCGCATGTGTGTTTATAGTGGTAGAGGTGAAAGGGGCTGGTCTGTAGCTGGAGCCACAGTGCAGCCAAGGTCTGCAGGACCCAGGCTTGGTTTGCTGGCAAATGGGAGGGGAGGAGAACTCCTCTTCTCCGCCAGCCCTTGCTCCACCACACCCTCTTGTTGACTGATCTGCTCCCAAGGGGCCGAGGGGCCGAGGGGTCGAGGGGCCGGGCCGGGGGGTGGGGGGGCCCGTGCCTCCTCTGCAGGAGAAGGCGAGTTAGGCCTGGCCGTAGTGATCTGCAGTGCATCGCTCCCATCACCCTTCGAGCTCCTGACACAGGTGAGCTCTGAATTACTAGGCTGGAACAAGGGCTCCCAGAGCCAGGTCCTCTCTCAGGCAAGGCGCTCTGTGTCTGACTCTCCCTGCTGGAAGAGAAGAAAGATGGTCCCAAACTGGTGGAGAAATAAAAAGGGGTTTGGTGACCAAATACATGTCCCTCCCCCAAAGCTGGGAGGCCTGATACCAGATCCTTGTCCCAGCTCAAGGTCACATGGTGGTTGTTAGTGACAGCAGCTGTGAATGCACTGAGGTGCGGTGGAAAGAAAGTCCCAGAGCCGTGTCATGCCGGGTCTTCTGGTTCTCTCTAAAGAGAAGTCAAAAGCCATCTTTTCTATAAACTCGGTCTTTGAATGTATCGTTCATTTCAAACAAAAGACTGTCAGAGAGCAGGCAGAATATTCCCGAAGGCCTGCTCAGCTGTGGCCTACAAACATCCATCCAGACTTAGCCCTGCCTGGCCTGGCAAGCCGATGGCAAACACTAGGCGGCTGCTGCTTCTCAAACAGCTGAGGCCTTGAGTCAGATAGAGGAGCAAGTACAGGACAACCAGGTTCCTTTCCAATGCAGATCTGTTATTATTCCTAAATTACAGATAAGGAAACGGGCAGAGAAATTGCATGACTTGCCTGAGGTCCCAGGACCAAAAAGAAAGCAGCAGAGTCGGCTCTAACCACTGAGCATTTGACTCCTGGTGCTCAGTTAACGTTCAGTACATACTAGCCACCACTTTTGGGAGGGGGGCAGGTACTGGAGATCGAAGTCGGGACCTTGCCCTTGCGAGGCAGGTGGCAGCACCATTGAGCTAAATCCCCAGCCGGCCACCACTTTTTATATCCAAATTTATCCCCATTTTCAGAGGAGAAACTGAGGCTCTAGCTAGGTGATACTCCACCCCCATGGCCCCTCAGTCAGCAGAGAGGTCAATCTCAGCTCTAAGCCTGTTCTCCCAGCTTCTCTGCACTGTGAGGCATCAGGCACTCAGCCCTGGGACTCCCCCCATCCCTGCCTGGTACTCGGTGTCCTCGAGTTAGGGCCGGCCAAACCCTGCTCTGGTCACATCCTGCAGCTTCACACTGAGCCTAAGAGATGAGGCTGCCCGGATACCTGTGATGCTCAGGGCCTCCTTCTTGGACCACACACTGGCCTGGGTCTCTCCCTGGGGACGCAAGACTCTGATCTCGGCGCCCTTCCTCTTTTACCCGCAGCGGTTTTTCGAGGTGGGTCAGAGCCACATGGCCACATCCTTCCAGAGGGAGCCCAGTGCTGGACCCCATAATGACCTGGTTACCCTGGGGTGGGTGGACAGGTTGGACGCCCAGGGCTAGGAGCCAACAGAGAGAATGTCTATCTGCTGGCACACAGCCCTCTGTGAAAGTGCCACCTCCCTACCTCTGACCCAGAGACCAGCCACAGTGAGTGCAGGCAGGGACTCACACATTGCTTAGGTGAAAGCTCCCCAAATGAGTCAAGAGCACAGCCAGGGTGCAAACCACTTTGCTGACAGCAAGCAGCCCAGTGCAGTTGGCAAAACGGGCCAAGGCCGGAAGACCCTGGTCAACAGCCATGCTGGGCTGATGATCAAGCTGAGCCTCCAGGCCCAGTCTCCATGTCCCCCAGGACAGGGGTCTATGTGGACACCACTCACCCACATGGCCCCTTGCCAGGTGCTGCTCCTGTGCCAAGAGGGTGGGCTGAAGCTGGCACTCAATGGGCAGGGCCTGGGGACCACCAGCCTGGGCCAGCAGGCCCTGGAGAGACTGCGGGAGCTCCAGGTCAGCGGAAGCATTCAGCTGTACTGTGTCCACTGCTGAGAAGCTCTGGGTGGCCCGGTCCAGAAGGGGAAGCCAGCCTGGGCCAGGGCCTCTCGGTGTGGCACCCACCTGTCACCACTGTGAAGGCTTCGTTCACACCTAGGTTGCAGCCTGGGTCTGCACCAGCCTGAGATGGCACCAACCCTGTAGCTCCCACACCCGGAGCTGGGATTTGACCTGGCTTCCTTTGGGGCCAACACTACCCATAGGGGAGTCTGTGAAGCCTGCTGAAGATTCTCAGAAGTACAGGGCCCTGAAGAACTTGGATGTTTATTCTATTCCTACCCAGTAGCTCTGGAGAAACTTGCCCAGGCCAGCAGGTCACTGGTCCCAACCAACACTCAGACTCCATCTTTGACATCTGTCCTTCCCAGGCCCCAGCATCAGCAGAGAGGCTGGTGTTCATGATCTTATGAGCCTCAGGCTGGGCCTGACATGCACTGCCCATGCTCATTCCATCCACCAGCTTCTGTCCATGACACAGGCCAAAGCTGTGCACGGAGTTTCTCCAGAGCAAGTCGGAGGACCATGCCTCAGAAACACACAGTAACAACAGGCAAGAGACAGAGAGGGAGGCCTGTCTTGCCCTGTGGGATGTCAGCACAGGCACACAACCAGCCTACATTTCCTCCACCGACCACATGGGAGACATGGGCCCTAGGTTACTGGGTGGCCCAGGTGGTTTGTGCCACCCTGATTCCTGTGGGTTCGCTCTATGACATCCACACAAGAGAGGAATTGCCAAACAATGCATTTTTAGAACTTATCCATCATTGAGTGACACATAAAGAAAGAAAGGACATAGAGAAACTGAACCCATATGATGGAATGGCTGAAATGAGTATTTTTATAGTTTTGTACCCTACAAGCAGAGAGCAGTAGCCTCTGCTCATCCATTTACCAGATTGATCTATCATAGGGAGAATCTTAGTAAGTTCCCCAGAGTAGAGATTTCATAGCAAATCACCCTCAGCATAACCCAGGGGAACTGGACATCAGTGAGAGACGTAACTGAGTAGTGACCACCTAGAAACCAAGGCACTGGGTTCTAGACAGGATCTAAGCCAAGGAGGAGCCAACATGCATGCTGGATGCACCAGGGGCTGCAGACCCAAGGCCAGAGTGAAGGGAAGACTACAGGCAGCTTCACCGTGACACTGTCACTGAGCTGTGAGCAAAGCCTGTGCCACTGCTGAGTGTGTACACACTTGGGACTGGTGTGCTATACAAAATGAATTTAACAGACCAGACCTGAGGCACCTGCTCTTAGAAATGCCTGCTTAGAAAGCTGGCCTTGGCTGACCTCTGGAAATGGGACTGTAGGCAGTTCCCACACAGACATGGAACTTGCCCTAAATGAGTGACTCTATGTACGAAGACCAGGGTGACAGTATGGCCCGTGCTGAGCGCCTGCCTTCCTTCTGGGAGTCAGCATTCCTATAAATGCTAGGCAGAGAGCACCTACATCACTCACCTGCCACAAAAACCCCAGACTTCTGGACGCAGGAGATACCTCTGGTAGACAACCTTAGGCTTGTAGTTACAACTCCCAAAGGAGGAATTTGCAGGTCCTGTTTGTGACCCTATTGAGGACTCAGAAGCCTGCACCTGGCTTCCTCTAGATGCTTCCCTTGGACCTTTCCCTTTTCTGCTTTTGCTTTGTATCCTTTGCCCTAAGAAATCTTAGCTGTGAGTCTATTTGCTAAGGCTTATGTGTCCTCCTAGTGAACCAGTAGATATGGAACTGACTTCAGGCACCCTCAAAACGTATGTCTTCTTGGTAGATGGACTCTGGACATTAGGTGAAGTCCTTCATTACCTTCTTACTCTGAAGTAACCTTGGCTGATGCTAATGAGCCACTGTAGTGTTCTTTGATTCTGTTTGCATTTACATCTGTTTCTATGGTACTTTTGACCTCTGTACACTTTTAACTTATTTGTATCTATATTAACCTTTTACAGTAAGTCCCCACCTTACAAATGAGTTTGTTCCAGGAGAACATTCATAAGTCAGATTCCTTCATAAATCCGACAAACTGAGTCTACTCATCTTTGACACAAACGTACAATGCAAAGCATAAAGAAACACACAAATACTGTAAACTATTTTTACTTTTATAGCACTTTAAAATGATAACAACCAGCATATAGGGGATTTCATGGAGTGAGCATCTACGAATGTGCATAATGCAAGGTCTGTTTGTGAAAGTTCACAACTCAAATGTTTGTAAGTCGAAGACTTAACTGTACTTTTAACCTGTCTGCTTGAATTCCGTTTCTTGTATATAGCGTGTAGTTAAGTTATAGTTTCAGATTCAGTTTGTATTTTTAAAATCCATTCTGAGGGCCAGGGATTTAGCTCAGTGGCACCGTGTCTCCCTCGCAAGTGCAAGGTCCTGAGTTTGATCCTTGGTACCAAAAACAAAATATCTATTCTGATCATCTCTTTCTTTTAATGGTTTATTTAGACCACTTACACATTTAAAATAAATGCGATCTGATATGATTGAATGTAGGTGTACCATTTTATTTATTTTGTTTGTTCTCTTTGACTTAGTTTGTTTTTATTTTCTGTTTGTTTTTATTTTTCTCCCTCACTCTGTGAAAGACACTTATTTTAAGAGGATGAAAAGACAAATTACAAACTGGGAAAAAATATTTCTAAAACTGTTACTGAGCAAGGATTCATATCTAGAATATATAAAGAACTTCCAAAATTCAAAGTAAAAACTGAAGTATCCAATGCGAACTGAACCCCAGTCAGCACCCCTACAGCAGGTGGTGAGGTTTCCTTCAGTTTCCAGAAAGCTGCTGAGAAGCAGCAGGACAAGCTTAGGAACATGCAGGCCTGGTGCAGACTAGCCACTTGGGGCAGCCTGGGACAACAGCCGTGCCTCACCCTCATGGATCTTCCCATTCTGGTGCTGCCGTCTTTGGGATCTTGTGAGTGTTGCTGAGCAAGGGTTCAGGGGACTTGGTCCCTATTCCACTGTCATCTGCATGTGACACAGAGAGCTGTGGGGGAGGGTCCAGAGGCCAGAAATGTACCCCATGCTGGGGATCCCACGTGTGCTGCTGAGAGAGGTTCCAGTGACTCAGCCTCTGTCACACAGTGTCCTGCATGCCCCAGGCACAGCTGTGGAGTGGCCTGGGGACACTAGGGAAGGAGAAAGAAGGCCAAGCACAGATCACGGCCGAGTGGGGGCAGCAGTGCCCATGGAATGCAAGGAAACTGCACACTGTGAAGGGCAGGTGCTCAGACAGGGTTAACGAAGACCCTACACAGATGGTGACCTCCAGGCTCCAGATGTTTGCAAAGGGAAGCTGGGCTGCCCTTAGTCCTCACACTGCTTGCACCGCAAATCTAGCAAACATGCCGTCTTGGGAGAGATTTAACCCCTGAGGGAAGAAGCTGAGCATCACATTAGGCTGGGCTCCGCAATCTGCACCTAGCCTGACCCCACCATCAGGGTCCCAGCTATCCTAACTCCCTTCTCACTGGCAAAGGGAGCTGGCAAACAAGACATTCACAAGCCAGTGAGGATCCAGAGAAAAACCAAAAACCAGAGAATCATTTTGAAGGCAGGCTGAGCAGGGACCACTAGGTTCTTAAGACAGAAACAGGCATGGTCCTAGTTAGGGGCCCAGAACCAGACTCTGAAAGTGCCAAGGCTCAGTGAGTTGCAGGATGGCCAATGTCCATGACCCAGTGTGATCTGAGGGGGGGAGAAAAGGCACACAGCAATGCCAAAGTAGGCCTTGTGCCACGACTACCCAAACACTGGTGAGGTCTGTGCCCACCACTGCCCACCCCTTAGACACAACAGAACTTGTTACCCACCCAGGGACCATCCCATGCCATCTCTGCAACCCCTAAGTGCCACTGCACTCACAAGCTGGACAGAGATTCTTTGTGAATGCACAGAGAGAGATGGAGAAGAGCAGAGTAATCATAGGGGGCCTTACTGTACTCCCAGCCAGAGCAGCAGAGAAAAAGTAGACATGAGCAGCTGCAGGGATTGTCATGGAAGGAAGTGGCAGAGACTGAGAAGGCTCCTTTGAAAATCAGCAGAAGCTGGGTGCTTAACCAGCCATACTGCGCCACGCACAACACACACACACAGTTGAAGGCATCTGATCAGAAGACAGAGGCCAAAAATACACTGGCCAGACAGGCCCACAGAAGCACATCTGAAACCAAGCAGAGCTCTGCCTTGGAGGGGACAGGAAGCAGGCTCAGTGGTCCATCCAGACCCCCAGGCTCCTTCCCTCACTGGCAGGCAGGAGAACAGCTCGCAGGAGGAGAACTCTGCGCTGAGTGGACCCATCCACTGAGGTCTGCAGCTCAGTCCTCACAGCACCTTCAAGTCAAAGGCTCTTCCTCTGTGCACACACTGGGAGAGTACACTGGCCAAATGCTACTGCAGAAATGTAGACACTTAAATGTAGACAGAAATGTAAGGACGCTTTTGTATTATTGCATGTGTGGTTGGTTTTTTTCTTGTTGGTTTTCTTCTCCCTCTCTTCTTTCTTTTCCTTTTCTACTTTCATCTGGTTTATATATGTGAGGTGTTTGTGTATGTGAAATGGAGAAAATTAATTATTGCTTAGTTCAAAGAGTACCTCTCATGGGCATATTAAGTTGACCCTTACCAAAAAAAATAGAGAGAGGATTCAAACACTAGCTCTCCATCACAAATTACTTGGTTCCAACCTTCTCACTGCTGCACTCAATCTCCAGTTGTACTTACCTCCCTTTTCTTTTTCTTCTCTATCCCTACTACTATCCTCAGCCCCCTCTCCACCAGCCTCCACTCCAGGTACAAAATAATATCAAACTGAAAAAGTATTAAATGAAATGGGAAAACGATAAAGGAATCAGCATTAGAAAAACAATGCAATGACAAGGTTCAGTGAATATCATTCCATAATAATTCAAAATGTAAATGCTTTTGACTCCTCCATCAACAGACACAGACTGACAGATAGGATCAAAAAAGAAAATGCAACTATACGGTGCCCACAAGAGATGCACCTCATCCACAAAGAAGCACATAAACTGGAAGAGATAGGATGGAAACAGATAGTTCATGCAACAGGAGCCCTAAAGCAAGAGGGAGTAGCTTTCCCATTTATAGACCATGTGTGCTCCAAGCTGAAACTGATTGGAAGAGACAAAGAAGGTCACTAAATATTGGTAAAGAGAACAATTCAACAGGAAGCAATAACAGTTGTAAATATATATGAACCAAATTCCGGGGCACCCAAGTTCATAAAACAAATACTACTGGACATGAAAGGGCAGATCAACATCAACACAATCATAGTGTCTGACTTATATATCTCACTGTAATAGACAGGATGATGTGACAGAAATCAACAAAGAAAGGTCCAGGGATTTGGCTCAGTGGTGGTGCTGCCTGCCTCACAAGCACAAGGTCCCAAGTTCTATCCCCAGTACCAAAAAAGAAATCAACAAAGAAATAGAGTTCAACCACACCATCAAACAAATAGACTTCAAAGATATCTACAGAGTGTTTCATTCAACAATCTCAAAATGCAAGACATGATGGTGCACACCTATAATCCCAGCACTTGGGAGGCTGAGGCAGGAGGATTGCTGTGAGTTCAAGGACAGCCTGGGTTACACATGAGTTTGAGGCCAGACTGAACTACATAGTGAGATCCTGTCTCCAAAAAAAATCTCAGAATATACATTTTCCTCAGCCACACATGCAACTTTCTCCAAAACAGGCAACATCTTAGGCCAAAAAGCATGCTTAAATAAATACAAAAGAATTGAAATAGTTTCCTGCATACTATTGGAATATGGTAGAATGAAACTAGAAATCAACAGCAAAAGAAACCACAGAAATAATGCAAATATACAGAGGTTTATTAATAAGCTCTTGAATAATCAATGGAAGAAGAAATCAAGGAAGAAGTTAAAAAGTTCCTAGAACTGGGCTGGGGATTTAGCTCAGTGGTTCCGGCGCCTGCCTCACAAACACAAGGTCCTGAGTTCGATCACTGGTACCAAAAAAAAAAGAAAAAAAAAAACAGGCCAGGGATTTAGCTCAGTGGTTTCACTGTCTGCTGCACCCGCCTGCTGCACAAGCGCAAGGACCCGAGTTTGATCCCTGGTACCAAAAAAAAAAAAGTTCCTAGAACTAAATGATGATGGAAGCACAGCACACCCAAACCTGTAGGACACATGAAAAGTGGTTCAAAGAGGACAGTTTATAGCTGTGAATGCCCACATTAGAAAAACTGAGCAATCCCAAATAATCTGATTATGCACAACAGCTCCTAGAAAAACAAGAGAAATTCAAATCCAAATCTTGCCAAAAGAAAGATATTATAAAGACCAGCGTGGAAATTAATGAAATTGAGACAAAAAAATACAAAGCATCAATGAATCAAAGAGTTGACTCTTTGAAAAGATAAACAAGATTAATAAGCTCTTAGCCAAACCTATCAAAAAAGGAAGAAAAGCTTCATATTATCGCACTTAGAAATGAAAAAAGGTGAAATCAGAACTAACACCATATTTCTATAATCCAGACATATAATAAAATAAGTAGGAGAATAAAGAAGATATGGATAAACTCTACACAAATATGAATTACCAAAACTGAACCACGAAAATATAAAAACACTGAACAGACCAACAACAATGAGATAGAGGTAATAGTAAAAACCTTACCAACAGAAAAACCAAGAATCCGATGGATTCACTCATGAAAATTATTAGAACTTCAAGGAAGATCTAAAGCCAGCACTTCTCAAACTCTTCCATGAAGTGGAAAGGAAAGGAACACTACAAAACTCATTCTTAAAAGCCGGCATTATCCTGATAACAAAACCAGACAAGGACTCAACAAAAAAAGAGAACTACAGGACAATTTTCCTAATGAACATAGATGCAAAGATCCCCAAGAGGATACTTGCACACAGGATGAAACAAATCAATAAAAAGATCATACCCCGGGCCGGGATTTAGCTCAGTGGTGCCACACCTGCCTCAAAAGCAGAAGGTTTGGCTCCCAATGCTGAGGAGGAGGCTTTAGGGCCAAAGTACCACCACTCCCAGCACAGAGGTGGTGAGCTGCACAGGCACTAGCAGCACCCCCCACTCCCCCTCCCCTGTTGAAATGAGAAGACATGTAAACAAGCCTCAAAACCAGACTTCCAGATCACCTACAGCAACCCCAAAGGGAAATGATATGGAACACTTTGATACTCAACCACCTGGA